GGGCGGCGGGGCTGGCAGAGGGGCTCCCCCTCCCCCTGACAGGAGCAGGGCGATGTCTCGCCGCCGGCGCGGTTTCCCCGCCTTGGCGTCGCAGATGCGGGAGAGAAGTCCTTCCGTCTTCGTCTTGTGGTAATAAAGCGCTTTTCCACTAACGAATATTTCACGGGTGGTGCACGAGCAGGCTGCGAGCGACGGGAGCTGAGTCACTGTTGGTGGAAACCGCAAACCGGTCGGGAAATCAGCTGCAGCTTCGCTTGCCCCGGGAGGAGCCGGGACGGGGCTGGCGGCGGCCGGGCGCCGGGGAGCTGGCGCTCCCGAGCAGCGGGGACCGGCGCGGCTCCCGTTCAGTCCCCGCGCTAGCTCCTGCACCGCGCTTAGCTGCAAAATGTCAGCGCCTCGCAGCTGATTTCGACTTTATCAAAGACGCTGCTACATATTAACAGTTAAAAGAAAAACAGACAAAGCTGGTAGGAATTAAAGTATGTGTGGGTCACGGCGTGTTTGTGTATGTGGAAGAAGTGTTTGGTTTGGCATTAGGTGTGTGCGGATCCTGATCTGTGAGCTTGTGTGTGTGCCTCTTACATACATCCCACGTACATCATGTTGCTCGCAGAGATCATGGGCTTCCCAGCCCCAACCAAGCATTTATCCTGTTTTCCCTTATTTTTTTTTTCCTGAGATTACTTTTTTGCTTGTTTTGTTTTGGTTGGTTGGTTTTTTTAAATAGAGTCTCGAAGGTACAGGCTCTAAAAATTAACTAAAAAGTGAAAAGAAATAATATGGTGAGCGGAGCGCACGGAATATCAGCGAGTAATACATGAAATTGATGTCGCTGGTGTGTATGAACACTGTATAAATACTATCTTAATTGAAAGGTTTGTAAGATATTTTTAGAAAAAATCAAAGTAATTGAGCTAGGTTTCAGAGCCTGCACGTATCGCAATGAACGGGCATAGTTAGGAGCAAGTAGGATGTTGCAGGAGATCGCCCAGAAATTAATGGCATGTTGCAGACGTTCTGTGATGGAAAGAAGACGATCGTGGTGGTTCTTCTTCTCTTTATTTGATCGGAATATCGGCGGATACTTCTGTTTCCTCCACAGGGATTAAAAAAACCAAACAAACAAACAAACAAAAAAAAACAGACCAACGAAACAACCCAACAACAACAAATTTTCTATGGCAGTTTTGTGCTTATTTCAGAAACGTGAATTGCCCAGTCAGAATATCACACTCGGCAATTGCTGTGCTCCCTCAACCTAGATAAAATTACCTCTGGAAACGGGATATACCACCCCCTCCCCGCGCAAATGCCATCCTCCGAAAGCGATGGCATGCTGCGCAGGCAATACTCGCAGGCATTTGCTGAAGCCAGGGTCCTTTTCGGTGTTGAGGGCCGAGCTGCGTTGGATATTTTTCCGGCGGGAGGCATGGAAGTAGTGGTACCCGGATCCAGCCTCTGATTAAGTTAATTATGTAATTAAACAATGGAAGGGGGTGCGCGGCCGTAAAACTTCCGATCCGCATCAACGGCGTACTTCTTCCCGAAGCAGAGCGGCTGTGAGGGATCCCCGACAGGGCTGCCCTCCCGGCAGGCGTGCAGACCCGCCCGGCACAGCCTGGGCTCCCGCGCCCT